TGACCTGTCACCTGCCCTTGGAGCCACTGCCAGCCAGCTGAGTCTGGCACCAGAGCACAGACCTGTTTGGGCTGTGAGCTCTGTGCTGCTTGTTACAGACACATAAATCACATGGCCATAAGTTACAAACACGCAAGACCTTACAAATACACACGTAGAGAGGGCACTTGTGATGTGTTGAGAAAGCTTTCCTGAAACCGAAGCACATGTTTTTTGGTGGAAATGTGTGACATTTAATGATGTTTGTCTGGTGAGATCATAGGAAAATTGTGAAGAAAAGGACGTGTCCTAAAGACTGAAAACATTCTGTGGAGGGCCCTAGAGCAGGCCAGAAGGCCTGGACTCCAGAACTTCCTCCTACAGTGGGGTGACAGGGGCGCAGTCAGGGCTGCTGTCCTGCAGGGCCCCTGTTCCCATGGCGAGAGCCAGTGAGGGGCCTGGACTGGGGACCCAGGCAGGCTGCACCGTCCTGGGCAGGAGGCGCAGTGCAGATGGGAGAGGCGCAGTGGGTCCGAGTCCGGGCAGGGTACTGTGTCAGGCCGTGCAGGTGCCTGCAGCTGGGCAGCACTGGGCAGGGCAGGGCAGAGCTGAGAGAAGCAGTTCTGGGCAGACGGGTGCATGGGGCTTTCCCACGTTTGGGGTCAGAGTCAGCTCCCTTCAGAGCGCGCTATGCTGGGAGGAGAATGTGTGCGGCTGCAGGCCTGGTTTAGCGCGGTCCGGTCGGTGCGATTGTGCTCCAGCTCCCAGAAACGTGACCGAATGCTCGGGGCTCCCTTGGAAGCTTCCCTTTGCTCTGTCTGATGCCGCGCACTCTCATGTCCCCGTTTCCCCGCCTGGTCCTCAGCTCACGCTGGGCCCCGCTGCTTCCTGCTCCTCCCGAGAGAGCCATGGATGGCTGGGTTGGGTCAGCAGCCTGGGCACCTATCACAGCTCTTTGGCCTTGGAGGACTCTTTTGCTTCTTGGAATTGAGCCTCCTCTGCTGCAAAAATGAAGTCTTTGCCCCGAGGGTCTCAGGCCAGGGCTTCACACCGGCACGTGATGCGTTTGGATCCCCATAAAACAAGTATGGGTTAACATTAAGTAGTGAGCTGTTTCATTGGTAATTTAGTTTCTTCGAATTTGACAGGCATTGTGGGCGTGGTTAAAAGGGCAGGTAGCTGTAGAAAGGCCTGGAGAACATTGGACGAGTGCCTGTTGCCTTTTTATTTTCGTTCTTTGCTGTAGTGGGGACTCAACCCAGGGCCTTCACAGTGAGCCCACCTTCCTCTATTCTTTTTTTTTTTTTTCTTGGTACCAGGGATCAAACTTGGGAGCCTGCGCTTGCAAGGCAGGCAGCGCTGAGCTAAGACCCCGGCCCTTTCTCTGTTCACTTTGAGACAGGGTCTTGCTGAGTTGCCAGGTTCAGCTCAAGCTTGGGACCTCCTTGCCTCGGCCTCCCAGAGTCCTAGGGTGACAGGCCTGCAACACCACGCCTGGCTGGCCTTCTGCTTTTTAAAATGCATTCTGACAGGGGCGCTCAGAATGTTCCACTGCTGCTAGCAATTCCCATTAGGCTGGAATCCTTGTAGAAGTTATCAGAGGTCCAAGGGAAGCTTCTAGGCAGAATTGTTCGTGGAGCTGCCCACTTGGAGGAAGGGTGTGAGGGGCAGATGAGCCCTGGGTGGGGGAGACCTGCATGGCTACTGGGAGGGCAGCAGGGCAGTGCAGAGTGGTGAGGACAGCCCAGCAGCTGTGTGACTCCGGCCCTGCTGCGCAGCTACCGCATGCGTGGAGATGGTAGGGTTTTGTGCGGGGCCCGTCCGGGTGAGGCCTGTTCCTTACACCCAGTCCCAGAGGCCCAGTGGCAGGCACTGAGCGCCCTTGGGTCTGGAGGAGATTCCCGCACCCCCTGGAGGGCGCTCACATTCACCTCAGATGCTCACTGCCCTCCCACCAGCAGGGGCAGCCTTTACTGTCCACCGCACAGAGGAGTGGAGAGCAGCAGCCTCCCGCCCGGGCAGCAGCACCAGGCACAGGCCTGGCGTCTGGACACAGCCCTGCTCTGTGGCCCCTTCCGGAGTGTGTGGCTGCATGGATGCATCCAGGGGCCGAGTGGGAGGTGGCCGGGGTCCTGCCACCATGGCTGCTCCGTGGTCCTGCCTTAGTGTTTAGAACAGATCACCATGGCCTCTGGCGTCAGAGCAGTGTAAAATGATGGCGTTGAGGTCGGGCAGCCAGAAGGTGAGAACAGGTCTGAGAGGCCGAGCAGGCCTGTTGGCCACGCTGGGCCTGGGGGCACCCGGGAAGGCGCCGAGCTCACCCTTCCAGTCCTGAGCTCCGGTCCCCTCTCTGCAGTGCCCTGGCTCCACGCCCTGTTCCTTCCTCTGGCGGGGACCCTGAAAGGTAGGGTAGCTAAGGACAGGCCCATTTTACAGGGCTCGAGCGCGTCTCCATCTGTTGCAGGAAGACACTGGCTCCCCATCCAGCGAATCTTAAGAGCAATCAGATCTTTTACAACGAGTTAAAAAGATGGTAAAAAGTTTTCTGTTTGTTGTTGTTTTGTTTTTGCTGCAGTTCCGGGGCATGAACCCAGGGTCTTGCACAGCTTGGTAAGATACATGCTAACCTTTATTTTTCATTTTGAGATAAAGAATCTTGCAATATTGCCCAGGCTGGCCTGGAACTTGCTATCCTCCTGCCTCAGCCTCCTTAGTAGAGTGGGCCACTGGCCCTGGGTCCTGTCCACGATTCTCAGCCTGGTTAAACTGCTCTGCCCATTTGGGAAACACTGCATGAGCTTCTGGCTGCCTGTGCACGTCACCTCTTCCTAGCATAGAAGTACTTTTTTTTTCCTGTTTTTGTGAGACAGGGTCTCACTGTGGACCATCCAGGCTGAGGCTGGCCTCAAACTGGTGGAATCCCCTGCCGAAGCCTCCCAAGTGCTGGGATCACAGGCATGACCACCACTCCTGGCTTGTCGGTGCTCTTTGAGAACTTTGAAATGTTTTGAGAACTTAATGTTTAAGTAGCATTTCAGATACTTCATTTTACACCCTTACCTGGTTAATCTGACCTTCTGAACTCGACCTGCTGGTTGTGTGGTTGGCAGAACAGACTCGTGTTGACACTCTGGCTTGGTGACGCCGCAGCAGTGAGCTGAGGGTTTCCGGGTCCAGGGCTCCTGGGTCTGGTTCTGTAGAGTGGTGCCAGCCCTCGAGGAGACACGGGCGCTATCACATGACACCCCACCCACCCTGTGCTGTCGGAGGCCATCCCCACACTGGCCCTGCTGCAGGACAGGTGGGTGGGCAGGGTCCTCCTGAGTCCCGACTGCCGTCATAGGGTGGGGATTCCCAGCTCCTGGTTCAGTGTCGGGCAGCGCAGCACAGGATGGTGTGGGAGTGCAGGCACGGTGCTCCCCAGGTCTCTTCGATGGCCAGGGGCAGTGCCAGCCTCGCCGGCCTCTTGGGATTCCTGCAGGGCAGCGTTTCTGCTTTTGTGACCATGGAGCGGGATCTTGCCTCATGGACACCAGAGGCCCTGGACTCTGTCTTCCTTCCTTAGCACCTGAGTAGCTTTTGGTGCCCGATACTTTGGGCTTTGTCGTGTTCTGGGCCCGTCCTCGCCCTGGCTGGCCACTGTCCCGGGTGCTGACTCCACTGTGGTGCTGGGCTTGGCCTGTCCTGGGCAGGGAGAGCCAGGAAGCGGGTGGCCTTGTGTGTTCTCCCCTGAGCTGCCTGGTGCGGAGTGCTGTCGGGGCTCCCCAGCGCCACCGCAGGTCCCTCGAAGCCGTCCTCTCTGCCTTAGGAACACATCCTGAAGTCTGTCACCTCAGGCAAAGGGGACACCCAGGAGGTGGCTGGCCCACAGTACCCCCCCCCCGCGTCACTTGTCACCTGCCGGGGTGTGAGTGCTGAGTGGTCGCGTGTGTGTGCGTGTGTGTGTGTGTGTGTGTGTGTGTGCGCGCGCGCGCGCTGTGCTGGGGACAGTCCTGTACTGCTCACTTCATGCAGCAAGTAAATATGTAGATAACATGCGTATGTTGTCACAGCCCGCTCTGGAACAGCCGTTGAGCTAAGCTTATTTTCTGTTTACAATCACGTTAGGTATTTGTTGCTTATATGACCTTTGCGATTCACAGCACCCAGGGCTCCCTGTTTTTTGGCCTCAGTTTCAGCCCGTGTCGTATGTGAGGATCATGAGGTGATGAGAAAGTGTGGGTGTCGGTTTTGTTGTCATTTTAAGATGGGGGTGACACAGGAGCACCGTCCCCTGCCGGCATCGCTGCAGACTGCAGTGTGAATTCCTGCCAGGTTACAGAGGAGAGCAGCAGACAGGTAAAACAGTTCGAGGGCCAAGCGGGCAGCGCACATTTCCTGGTGCCCGGCAGTGAGCCGCTATCTGTTCTTTCTGCTGAAGCTGCCTAATAACTGATCTCCTTTCAGATAGCCACTTTCGTCTGAGTATGTTTTAGTCACAACCTGGGAGAAGTGGGTGGCTGTGCGTGTGTTGGGGGTGAGGGGAATGCTTGCCAGGTGCTGGTCCATCCTAGTTATTGTTTAGGTAACCCTCTGTCGGGGAGATTGCTGAATTAATCATATGGTTTTATTGTATGGGAACATTTCTGATTTCACTGAAATGATCACTGTATCTTTAAAATGGAAATCGATTTGGGGCCAAACCCAAGGCTTTGAGGTTTCCTAAGGAATATTTAAAATGCTTTAAAGCATTTTAAGGCATTCAAAAGAGAAAGCAAAACTTTAGAAGTGTTTTTCTTGATTCGTTGGAATGTACACATATTAAATATGTGTGTATTTTTATCTCCTCACAGCTGATCATGCTCTTCTGTTTCCTTTGTGCTTTTCCTCTGGCCCTCTGTATTGGCTCGGGTCTACGCAGATGCTCTGCTGCTCACGGATGTTTCCATAGATCACCCAAGTGGGCCAGAGCATGGATACAGTCATCAGTGAACAAAACTGCTGTGCTTCTCTGAAAGTGACTCTTTGTATTTTTATTACAGGTAAATTGGGATGCTCGCAATGCACCGAAGAGGAGGTAAGAGAACTGCCCCATCCCTCTGCCCCTGGGCTCTGTTTCCCGCTCGGTTCAGAGAGCTTGCTGGGGAGGAGTGGGGAGGGACCATCAGGCCTGTCCCGTCGGGTGTGTGACCCAGACGTTGGCCAAAGTTGGAGGCAGTTCCTATGGCCTCATGATGGGATTGAGCTGGTTAGGGCCCAGCGCTCTGGGGAAGAGTTAATTTAAGTTCAGTTTTTCAGCATCCAGCCTGAGTGTCATCAGAAACACATCAGTGCGTCGGGCTGCGGAGGGGAACGGGACGAGGGGACATGTTTTGTGAGGTTCACAAAGATGGGGAGAAAAAAGCTTGTCGTGGACAAGTAATTGGTGTTGCTGGTAATTTCAGCAGTTCTATTCCGAATTCCAGCTGTGGGACTGCAGGCACCTCCTCCACAGGCCTGTGTCCTCTCGGCGCAGTTGGGGAGGTGACGCGCATGATATCGCCTTGGGCTGGCGTCAGGGGCACCGTTCACAGTGGTGCCTGAAAAAAGGGCTTAGGGAATTGCATTTGTAGTTCCATAATTCAGCAGCAGATCGGTGTTTGTTTTAGTAAATTTTAACTGTTGTTTTGAGTAAAATGCAGCTAAGCGAGAAAGCAAAAATATCCTTTGTTGCAATCACTTTGCTTTTGTACTTCTTTTCAATTTTGAAAGTAGAGATTTTTTTTCACGTTAGTTCTGAAAGTAGTAGGAACTTACTTTCTATTGCTGGGGGTTTTGGTGGCCTCTCTGACATGCTATGAAGGCGTGGGCTTTGGCTTGAGTCGGAATATACACCTTTCATCTTGTGATTTCTGGGCGTATAACTTTTGAGCTGTGCGTTTTTTTTCTTTCACTGTTTTTTGAGACAGGGTGTCACTGAGCAGTTCAGCTGGTCCTCCTCCTGCCTCAGCCTCCTCAGTGCTGGGATTACAGGGACCACGTGCAGTTTAACTGTGCAGTTTTGAGTAAATGATTTTTTCTCTCATAACTGTCTTTCTTACCTATAAAACGTTGATGATGCTCCCCCTTAACTTTGTAGAGTTGTGACATTTTAGGGATGGTATGTGTGGAATGTTTCGTAAGCCCTGAAGGCAGTGTGGTAACTGCTGTGTGCCAAGGGAGCGAGGACTGCACAGGTCGCCTTCCAACCCCTGCCTCGATGTCCTGCCCCATCCAGCCACACAGGCAGCAGGGTCTTAGCCCAAGCCCCCAGCCAGTGGTCTCGTCCTTTCATGACTTGGACCACCGAAAGAGTTGGACTCTTAACTAAACAGAAATTTTGAGGGGGAAAAAAGTCACAAGAAAACAGAAAGTTCAATCTGATTCTTGCTTTAAAAAATGGATTTAGGGCTGGGTACTGGTCATCCCAGCACTCTGGGAGGCCGAGGCAGGAGAATCACAAGTTCAGCCTTAGCGAGGGTAACACAGAAATTTGGGGAGACCCTGTCTCAAAACAAAATTAAAATAAAAAACGGGTCTTGGTAATGTTTTCTGGGGGCGACAGTTAACCTCTGCAGAGGAGGCTGATCCTGGGCGTTCATTTATCCATAGTGGCTGCGTTTTTAAAGGACAGCAAGACTTCGAATCCGCTTTAGTGACTGAACCTGGCGGGTTTGGTGAGGGAGAGGGCCTTCCCAAGCCGTGGCCTCTGAGGCATGCAGGCAGGTGTGGCCGAGCTTCACAGACTGGGGCTCCTTCGGAGACTGCTGGCTGCCGTCTGTGAGCTTGGGTGGCTTTCACACCAGCCGAGGCCCTGAGGCTGTGCTCTGGGCGGTCCAGGGCGAGCGGGTGGGGTGCCTGGCGCTGTGGCAGGCTGGTCACGGCCTGCTGTAGATTTGAAAACAGCGCTGCTCACCCGTGAAGACATCGTTGTGCTTCCCATTGTTACTTGCGTGAGCACTGTGGTTTCCACCAGTAGGCGTCTGGGGAGTTCCTGCTCTGTCCTCTCACCCGGTCGTGTCTGTTGCAGCCTCATCAGCGATAGGGCGGTGGTATCTGAGAGGGTAAAGGGCCTGACGCCAGGGACAAGGACCAGTGGCCAGGGAACGGGCAGGTCCGTGCCTTGGGTGCCACACCCTCTGTGGTCCCACAGCACTTTGGGCCCTGGCCCTGGATTTGGTCCCTTGGGGAAAGCGGTTCCCAGCCCTGGAGTGCAGCTCAAGCCTCTGGGAGCTCCTGTGGCCATGGGTCCAGGATAGCAAGGCCACCAGGGCCAGCAGGGCCGTGGGAGGGCAGGACAGGCCCACGGGGTATGGCTGTGCATGTAGGGCACCAGGCAGGGACCTGCGGAGTGGGCCAGCACAGGACTGTTCCTGGCTGGAAGTGGTGAGGTTCCCTGGGGGAGAAGAAGGCCCTGCTTCTTAAGCCATCGGTGCCTCCATCTTTCCTGGACTGTAGGACCCCAGAGAGACACTGTGATTGAGGTAGAGAACTTTAAATGGCCAACTGTGCCTGGTAGTTTTTTTAGTACATAAAAATCACATTGTGTTAAAGATCAGCCTGGGGATTTAGCTCAGTGGTTTCGTCACCTGCTGCACAAGCACAAGGACCCAAGTTCGATCCCTGGTACCAAAAAAAAGAAAGATGAGGGTGGTGGCTCATACTTTCAGTCCCAGCACTGTGGAGGCTGAAGCAGGAGGGTTGCAAGTTGGGCCCAGCCCACGCAGTTTAGCTCAGTGTAAAGGCCTTCATTTCAGTCCTCAGCTGAAAAAACAAAACACCCCTCCCCAAAGAAAGAAAATCACATTATACATTATTTCCTAGTTTTACTTATGATTCTCTAATACTGTCATACAATCATAGAGACTGAACGAATTTGGGTTTAGAGAAAGCAGAGAGACCATGCACAGGCTTTCAGTCAGCATTTGCAGACCTTTTGCCTCAAGATGAGCTAATGCTTCCCAAATCAGGTATTTTATCCCATTTCTCACTGCTTGGATGTTTTTGGTGCTGGGCAGGCTGCCTCTGAGCTGTGACCGGGCCTGGAATGTGCAGGTGCCTGAGGTCCTGGTGTTTTCAGTCCGTGTGTTTTAGGGCCATGGAGCTGCTTCCCATGTTGGCAGGCAGCTGTGTCTCCCCCAGCCCTCCCCATCTGAAGGCACGAGTCAGGTGGTGACACGGACACGCTGGCCCCTCCCTGCTTGTCCTCTGCGCTGCCTTCTGCCCCCGGCCCCGGGCGGGTGCTGTCCCCCAGCTCTGAGGGGACGTTTGGCGCACAGGTAACCCGGGCTCCCGCATGACCCACAGCTGGGATGGCTCCAGGCTGAGCAGGGGCAGCCTCACCCACTGCACACATTTTTCCTGCTTCCATTATTTAAATGGTTTCTAGGTTATCAGCTTTGAGGAAAATTGCCAAGTACTTTCATATTACTCAAGCATAGCTGATGGAATTTTCTAGTATTTTAGCCGAGGCTTTTTCTTTTCTTTCTTTTTGGCTTTCCAGATCTCCTCACAGTCCTGTCCTCTATTAACCGCCGGTGACCCTGTGGCACTCAGCGGCCCTTTCCCTTTCACAGGAGAGGAGGCTCAGTGAGTAGCTGGAGCACCCTGACACTCCCCTGGCATGGTAGCTGTATTTTTAAGTGGAATAGGTTAAAGTACAGTGTGATGTAAAGTTAAATTAACTTTTATTCTAACTTCAGTCTTGGTAGAACTGACGGCGCAGCAGAAAAAGTCGACTTCCTGGAAGGAAATTGAGAAGGAGCCGTGCCATGCCTCCGAAGTGAGTTTATGGCACCGTGCGTGAGGACCGCCATCGACTTGGGGTCCGCAGCCTCTGTGGAGGGGACCTCAGTGCCTGTTGCGTGCTAGTCCTCTTGGAGGCAGTCAGGGTCTTGGAAGACATTTGTGAGCGGATGCTGTTATTTCCAGCACTTCAGCTGCTGCACGGGGAGCTTCAGTGGTGCCAGGCTGATGGTGCCCGAGGTCTGCGGGTCTCTGTCCCAGCCTCGTGCTGGTCTGTGTCTGGCCTGAAGCGTCTTTCCAGAGTGCCCCACTTGGAGCAGCAAAGTGGCCATGTGTCCCCTTGTCCTGCAGACACTTCTCAGCTGTGCTCTCCGGCTTGGGGCCCAGGTCGTGGGGTGAACCTGTGGGGCAGCGTTGGTGAGGGTGCGCATGCAGCCCATGAACCCCTGCCCACAGTGGTGGGCCAGTGCAGGGTCCGTTCAGGATCTGTAAAGCAGCCAGTGACTCGGGCGTCGTTCTGTGTACTGGAATCTCCTGGGAAACTAGACCTGGCGCTGGTCCACTCTGGAGGAACCGGAGGTCTTGAGAATGAGCTGGGAAAGGCATGGGGTGAGGATCTCAGGCTTTACTCCAGCTGGATATGGCCAGTTTTGACCCGCCCTGGACTGTGTGAGCATTTCTTGGTTCTCTGAGCAGCCTAAACTGCTGAGTATAGTGCATGGGACGTTCTGCTTCAATGCAGAGTCAGCATTAGAAAGGCCCATTTTGTCTGTAGCTGAGTCTGTCTGTTCCCTTGGCTGCACCAGTCCTGTGGGCTCGTGGTGGCGGAACGTGCTGCTGCTGCTTTTTGTGGACACTGGACAAAAGCAGCACAGAGATCTGGCTGAAGTCTGTGGTCTTGTTTGTGAAGTACTTGCCCGTGGGCACAGTTCGAACTGTGTGAACCAGGCGGTTTGTATGTCTGTGAAAACAGGATTTGATACCAAATTATTAACCCAGGAAGAATTACAGAAACAGAAGGAGAATTGCTGTCTGATCTGCCCTTCGGCAGAGGCCTTGATCCTAAATGTTGAGTTTGTAAACAGGGTCACATGATTAGATGTGTGCTATCTGGAAGGGTTGGGAGAATGAGCCCCACTCCCTGCTGGTGAACAAGCGGCCCGGCCCCTCACTTGGAGGCTCAGGCACAGGAAGGAAGGCCCTGCCCATGTGGACACCCATTGCCTGGGGCTCAGACCCTGGACGTACCCAGGGCCCATCCACCTGCCTGTCTCCTTGGATTTGGGGCCCCAGATGCACCAGTTCTGTACGGCT